CCTATAACTTGCAACATACTTCAGAGTAATACACCTTGTACAAGAAATGGCTACAAGGAATTGGCTACCCCATGGCGTGAAAAGATCGGGATGTGGAAAACGAAGGGGTGAAAACAAAAGGGGGCTGTTCGGCTGTGTGGCATGGACTAAACGAAAAACCGATTTCCTTCACAGTGTGTTTTGTTTGGCGTGAACAGTCGTGTGCTCAGTTCTGCTCAGTTCACACAACCATTAACCATTTACTGTGTGCGGTGGCTTTGGTCGTTATGTTCTGGCAACAGCCTTAGTCGGAGACAAAGGAAAATAACAGTACCAATAAAGGTACAATAAGAGAATCACGAATATTAGTGTCCAGTCGAAATAGAAAGTTCGGGGGAACAAGAAAGCAGCTGATCACGACGTATAGCCATTTTCTCTAGCGTAAATGACCACTAAGCGGGGGGGTGTCTTGGCCCCCACCCAAGAAGTCCAATACGTCTTACACCGCCAATTTCACATGTTAGGTCTTTCAGGCAGGCATTCCAGCACGGAGAAGCACACTGCAAACTCTTGACACGGGTCTTGCAATCATGGATGTATGCTTGCAGTCGTACACACATGTACACAGTTGACGTCAGTCGCGCTATGCCCCGGAAATTATTGACGTTCTGAAAGACCTTGTGTGATTTTAGGGCAGTGCATGCTCGGGTATATTCACTTTATAACCAAATAAATCAAGATTCTCCCTGTCAAATCAAAGACCAATTTTTCTTCTCAAAATGGCCGCTCACGTAGGCTTTGGCCTCAAGGGATGCAATACTGCTCCGTATACGGAAGAGCCTCCTTTATACTTCGATATCTGAAATACTAAGAAACAACTGATTTGAAGGATTATTTGAGAGGTAAATGACTGCAAGAGAAGAGATCAAAGTACACAATGCTTGTGCAGCAACATCGCGAATATTTCCCTATTATGAATGCATCGTCTTTGAAAACTGAATAAGAAGTTATTACTCGTGCTGGTCACCCATGGGAATGAAAAAGACCGCTACCTTTAAACTGCCATTTTGCAAAACTTCCGCGCGGTACAATTTTGTCTCATTCTCCAGAATGTAACGATAACTGAGTTTGTATTGGAACATTCACGAATGATATGATTTAGACTACAATGTAAATAAACCCAGTACAGATTCACCTACAACTGTGACACCTCAGTCAGCATCATCTGAAAAAGACAGTGGATTTATCACGCTTTACATCATCTTACAACTGAAGCTTCGGTCAAATACGCTTTTTTAATATGACAACTGTCTACCCAGCAAAAGTAATATAACAAACTTCATTTGCATGAACTGAATCTCGAAAATCGGGTGTGCTGCTCTACACAAGAGACAACGGTCCCTCTGAAAGGAGTTTGCTTTTTTGCTTGGATAGATACCTGACGCTATGCGTCTCCACCTAGACGCTATTCTTCATCACATATTGGCTTCTGAATTGCAACTTTCAAGATACTAACTGATTTTATTACGGACAGATTAACAAGCCTAACAGGAAGGAAATGAAGATCAGAACTCACGTTTTGCTCATCCGTTTTGGCTGGTGGTACAGCAATAAACCAGTCACTGAGGTGCATCAGAATGTGAGCGGAAATTCACATACCAGCCTGAAAGCTGCTCGATGGACGTTTGTTGTCATCAGCACGTCTTGACACACGTGTTCTGAGGTTATTGTTTCGACGGGTGTATTCATAACATCGTACGAATAACACATCTCTAGTACAGTTATGGAAAACGGTAATTTGTGAATTTATCTCTCACACGGTTTGACTCTGGGCACATAAACAGCTGTCAAATGGGATCCGTTTGTAACTAATTGAAAATCGTGAAATAAGATTTGCCACGTCATCGTATTTTATGTAACGGAACTGGTACTACTGACATAACCATTCAAATAAAAAATTAGTGACTAACTGAATGTGGGAATAATGGATTGGAACATCAGCCGAAACTCACACATACCAGACGATGCCAAAATGACGATCACATTCCCATGTTAGTTTCTGTCTGGTTTCCACTGATGGACATTTGGCGAGTACTTTGATCTGCTTCAGGTATTTATTCTGTGTCTGCGTTGATTAATTCAGGATCAGTGTATCAATCTAGATAGCGAGAACTGCATAAGCAAATACAAATAGTGTAACGATTGCGGAGCAAAACTATTGATCAATAACATAGTGCATGGGATGAGTATCGGCTCACAGATTACTGGCTGTTATCCTTTTGTTCTGCAATCTTTAGTCTCCGGAATTCGTCGTTAGTTTGTCTAACATTCCCATTAGCATTGTTGGCAATATCTATTCAGGACAGTGTATAAACCCGGAAATTTAAAAGTAGTGATAAGCTGCACAAACTGGATTTGCCTTTCTCGTGAATATATCAACAAATTTTTCACTACGAAATGTCCTACTTCAGTCGTGTATATTGGAAAAACCGAACGGGGCCGGAAGTAATTGGTATTTTCAGCAGTGACAAAATTTCGATGATAGCCGCTTATGACACAAGTGAATAATGACAAGGAAATACGTTTATGATTTTAGTGAGATAAATGAACGATTTGCAACATAGAACAAATAAGTAAACAACACACAAAAGCCGGTGCTCAGCAAAACACTTATTCCATCCATTGCATAAGTTCGCTTGGACCAACATAACTAATTAGGAATGGATCCTGATACACGAATTCTCGGAGGCTGTAGATAACTACAGGATAAAATGGGCCTTCAGTGAAACAATTACTCACATAATGGCGAAGTAGTTTTCTTTAGGAAGAAATTTAACAATATTGATACAATCCTGAGAAAGTTGCTCTTTTAATGATTACCTACACGGAAGTTGATCCAACACAACTATCTACACATGTGCATCAATAAACTACATTCACGGAGTTTTGGCGACAATGAATACCGTGCACCACGTACAATTAAATGTAGTATAGACTATGTAAAGGTTAAGTTTTTTGTTGGTGTTCTGATGACAATTCCTTCTAGTCTACTCCTGTGTAGCGCTTGAATGCGTCATGGACTTCTAGGTTTCGTAACCTATTTTCTCTGTTTATAAAAGATCGACATATTTCTTATTCATACTTTACGACTCTGTTCTCGTAGTAAAGTAAACGTCCATCGTGAGTAAAGCTAGCTAATCATCTCATCTTTGCATAAAAGCCGCACTCCAGGGGCTCGAAATCCCCACCGTTGCACCGCTACCAGTGTACTACACCGTTGAACGACCAAATACCTTCGCGGCAGAAACTGACCTATTGACAGATTCATTCTTTCACATTGACGCATGTCTGTTTGTCGTTTTCAGGTACAAACTACCTGCACTATTTTCATTGTTGAACCTCCTACATATTCTCACTTCAGATTATTTTCTTATTCCCTGACTGAGTTGATAATTTCATGATAATCCGTCTAAATCGCTCGACAACCATCGTTCTGTTGTTTGAAAAATTCCTACAAACTCCCGTGTTAGCGTCGAACTTAATGACAGTGGATGCTTTGAATGGTGGAATGGAGATCATAGTCAGACAAACTTGAAGAAGAACAGCTGTGTCGGAACAAGACGTTGAGGTCTTTTGTTTTGTGTATTTTATAGTGAAAAATCAATGGAATTGAATGTAGTCGGTAACAATTTCATCAAGGGAGTACATAAAAATCATAATAATATAATGCTTGGACTTAATTAATAAATGTGTAAAATGATTTATCGGTCTTCCTCACTAAGATTTCCTTTCAATAGACCGGGAGTATTTCCAACAAATCTGAAAGTTACCGTGGAGCAATAACTGTGATATGAGCTGAGCTCGTCCATTAGAAGTTCACGTTCAATATTTAAATCAGATCACTTGTCATGTAGCGTCATCGACCAGCAAAACATCAGAAATTCGACAAAGTACTCTTCTGTCCAACGCCTAACGCTTCGTCATTCACATATATGCATATCGCATTCGAAGTCACGCTGAAAATTATTAAATATGCGTTGAATCAAATTTTCCTCATAAGAGCACCTATAGGATTTTGACATTAGTTATACGTGCGCATATCAAAGATTTCATGTTTCATGTTAAAAGTGCAAACTGTCTCAAATTCGGCTATTACCGCCGAACAATTATAGATACCACAATTGTACCCTGAACTAATAATCCACTGAGTAACTGATTGTAATACTAAGCCCGATGCTCGGCGAGCGCGGTTTCCTTCAAAATCGTTGTGACGATTTAGCGAGAATTTGATGACTTTCATGTTTGCGAACATCACAAATGGTTTAAAGTTTTGGTAAGAAAATCGCCTAACTGCTCTTCCAAATGACACCACAATAACACATTTTCGAAGACATTTCAAATCGTCGTGCAACAACTGCATTCAGTCGCGTGTGCAAAATGCTCAGCATGGTCTCATACTACTCATTGACCAAATGCCGAAAAACCTATGCAACCTGATGAACCGTACGAACAACTGATTAAACCTGTGCGCACTTTGAACGTGTTTGCTGTTCAATCCGGTTGACCAATCGGTAGCAAATCACGTCACTCATAAGTGTACAAACAAATTGTCTAACGACCAATGAAATGTCAGTTTTGCATCTATGTATTCTCAGCAATTCCAAGGAATCAGTATCGGAACATCACATTGGTTGAATCCTAGAACAACAACAACAGCTTCAAGAACAATAAGATGGCAATTCTACTTTATTTTACCACGAATCAGACAGAGGGGAAAATCTGTTCATAATTTAACCCATCTCGCCAACGTGAACTGCTCCATCGTCAGCACTTTTCTACACTGATAAAACACGAAAGCAAACTGGTTCACTGGTATGGCATTCCAAGCCGTGTTATGTTTCATCGGCAAACTGGTTTTCCTCGGAGGTTTATGCTTCCCAGTTGGGGGATGTGAATATATGCGGAGAACCACAGGTGACTGTATCAAAAAATGGGAAATTCTCCAATTGTATCCAATCGGGATGGTTCAAAGCAACACGACAACCGTAACTTATGATCATGCTACAGAATCTGTTCAAAGGAAAGGATCATTGTATGCAGGATACATAACGATGTTGTGGCCAAACAGGGTTAGTGGCTGATATTATCAACCTTTTATATCGGGCTCTTTATTTCTTAATTCGTATTACTCAGAGCAGGAGTTTAAAGGCATCGGTTAGTTTTATTCAGATTTACTTTGAAAGTTACCGCATGAAGCACGGTAAAACAGTGTTTTTGCTGTGTAGACAATGTGATCAGAGCTGCAGGACTTCATGACATTGTAGCTAGATGGCTATTTTTCCACAACACAATGATAAATGATTTCCAAAATGTACAGTATTGATTACAACCGCAGAATCACAGCATTTTATAATGTCTTTTTTCATTTCATGTCACCCCCAAGGACAAGTGAAATACTGCTCTTTTGTCGTCATAACCGTATTTGGTTTGTACTAATGAATTGCATATGGTTAAATCCCGCAGTAGAAAACAACAGCCTATTTTGAACAAGGTGACAACTGTTTTCACCGGTCATCTTAAAATGTTCATTCCTACTGACAACGGATAATACACATTTACTTTCAGTCACATTGGTCGTACTACCTGGTGGGACCCGAAATACTCGGTTACAATGGAACCTGGGAGACAAATGGAAACACTGTATTTTACACGTGTTGTGGTAAGTTAGCTCCTGGTTGCAGTTATGTTATACTGTCAGTTTATTATACCCGATCAGTAATTAGAATTTTTCAGATGAATTTTTATCCAGTACCAAAGCCTAACTCATCCTTGTAAAACAGTTTCATTGTGCAGTTCTTTCTGCCTTGTTAGAACTTATTAGAAGTGCGCATATCCCGAGCCCCCAAGGGTTTCGACCCGAAAAAATCTGTTCAGAGGACCATATGACATCATGTGGTGGTTTAGTAAAACAAAACCGTAAGGGCCAGCTTAAATAGCCTGATTGTCGATTGTTCAAATGAGAACCGTCTATCTCGGGTTCGACTTTCAATGAACGACCGGACGAAAATGAAAATTTTATTCAGCTGGATAAACTACCAGCCCTCGATATCTATACAAAAAGTAAACGTCATGACTTTAATAAAGTAAAATTAATATTTTTCTCCTTGGTCAGCAAAATCAAGCGACACCTGAATGTTGAGGCCCAAAAGTATACATTGGTCAATGTCACATGTCGTTTCGTGTTGTCTGAAAATCGAAACATCTGTTTTTCTTAACAGAGAAAACAACCAAATTACTCAGTTACAACAGGACCTTGACGGAAATTGGAAGAATCCAACTTGGTCGGTGTTGCAGTAAGTTTATAATCTTTTAGGTGTATTTGAAGTCGTCGGAATCATTAGCCGTGTTACATAGTTGGTTTGACCTAGTTGAATATATTTCCAAATGTCTGATTTCGAAAAATTTGGGTATGCAAACTTCACATTTCAATTCTGTTGTTTATCTTCCTTGTTTTACTAAGTACCATTTTTTTGACTCCATTTGGAACAAACAAGAACAAATCTGTCAACATTGCATGATTTCATGCCTATTTTTCTGCTCCATATTTTCCATTGTACAACTGAGCCCAAAACCATTGACAAACATATGTTTGAACACGAACAAACTAACACCGCTTCGAGATTATGTAACTTTATCGTTGCTTCTCACTTTTAACCAAAATGTTTATCTTCCGTTGTTATTTCGTTCGATTCTTACATACTGTGTTTCCCCTCTACCAGTTAATTAAATACATTTGAATTTGATCACGAGGAATATATTGATCACGTGATCATTGTCTATGCTACTTATTTTGTTTGTACAGTGTGTTCTTTGGGAACCAGCACACTCAAGGAGCTTCAAGTTTCTAATATTGATAATTCGATTTTGAATTATCGCAAGAAAAGTTAGTGACATTATCCGCATGAGAAAACGATGAATGATACCGGGACTTGCAAATTAGACATGCAAAGGTTCTATTTTATTCAGAGATTGATGGGATAGAGCTACCCATGCAAATCCAGTGCACTACCGGTGGTACACAAGCCAACACGATAACGTTCATTGTGAATAAACGGGTCATGTTGGTCCATTTAGTATGGTCTTGCGCAGAAAACACGAGTCGAAGAGCAACGTATTGAGTATCTGATCAGCGGTATGTCATCTATTATTCCCACCTATTCACTTCGGTCTCCTGAACTTGAAAGACTTCAATGAATCTAGTTCAGTTAGAATAACCAGTAATGATTATTGGATTACAGCTATTCTAATTGCTACTTCTCAACTGCCACCAGTAGTATCGCACAGTAGGAGGAAAGTTTAAAACAATGTTATCAATATCATTAGGTTGTGTGAATGCGAATGTCTCATCTGTCAGGATTCGTAGTCGTATCCTTCTGCCTGCCTATGACCACTGGTTATACAGATCTCGTGGAAGCTTAAAACACACAAATATTCCAGTACAATGGTTTCGCTTCTAATACATTCCACCCACCTTGTGGACTGTCCGCTTAATGGCGCCCACTCTGTCGAGGCTGTTTTGGCTTTTGCTAAGTGGTATTCGCTTACTCATTAATGCCAAACCCACCAATCGGACTACAGGTTGAACCTGGTAATTGTACATACGGTTTTCCTTTCGATCTCTCGAAATGTGTAGCCTGATAAAATGGTTCTCTTCCACTTCAAAGGACATCTTATTTTTCTGATGATTCCTGTGTTGTTCAGTTTGATTAAATTAAACCGAATGGGTATGGTATTCAATCGAAATCCGATAGCCGTAATGAACAACATTTAAAAGGAAGAACACAATGCTAGGCGCAAGCGCAAGCAGCAGAATCCCCCTAATACATAACCGAAAATTGTTGTTGAAGAGACGTGTCCTACAGGTTTAAGGATCTGTGTGACGGTATCAGAAAAGCACACCGCAGCTCAAGAGTCAAGCTGCATCGACTATCACCGACAACAGGTCTGAATTTCCGTATGCGTTACCTAATCCAGTTCGGGTCGAAAATTCGTTGACGAAACTATTTCCATCAACTTCTGCTGTCGACTGATCGAACGAATATTTGTTCTTGCATTCTAGCTGCATACAGTAGATCATTCCGTTGAATCGAAGCGATGTTTGGTTGTTTTATATACTAGTACACGAATGATGGAAGAGATCAACGATCAACAAGTTGGAATACCAGAAATTTTTTCTACAAGAACGGATGAACTTTTTTCCATAGAAAAACGTATGGCGGTAAAACACCATCCAATCTGAACAACCCTGTGTGCGTCACAGACAACTCAGAGGTATGCGAATATTCAGTCTTGCTAGGGCTGTTTTGATTTGCATTATCCGATTGGCGCACACAGTTTTGCGTTGAGTTTACTCGCTGATTGTGCACGCCTCCTTGATCCTGATCCCGTATTATTCAGCTAAGTTATTTGCCTATTAGGCTACGTGAAGCGCTTTGTAACCAACTTCCGTCGTCGTTTCGGCAGACTTTTGTTATTAGTCACATGAAAAGTCTGACCATATATTTTGAACGGAATTACACACGCCATTCTTTCTGATACACTGTCGAATATGATCGACCTGGTTCAGCATCAGCTGGAACAAGATAATAGAAATAATGAAATATTTTGCCAAACCTTACGGTTGTATTCAATATGTAGGAACAGGTCAGTGGTATTGGAATTCTAAGATATAATTCACGCAACGAATAACGAGTTCAAAATACACAAACACACAAATAAACTGACGGTGTGGTGAATGTCTTGGTTTGAGTATGGACCGGTAGTGCGAACAGTGGTAAACCAAGGCTAGCTCTCAAATGTACACCCCAATCAGTATAAAGGTGTAAATTATGGCTCCAAACAACGGTAACTTTATTGGTACAAGCTCATAACAGAGCATACAGCACGAAATTCACAAAAGATCGCTTTGAATATAAACTGGAAAGCTTGGTAAGATCTCTCTGGGAGGTAAGACCATCGACAAAAGAGGTTCTCCCTCAATACATCATCACTCGCATTAGAAGTGATGTCACTATTTATCTGGGATGTATTGTGCATCTGCAGGATGTACTGGGTTGACACGTGCACAACAAATGCGGTATCATGAAAACATAGCGAACACTAATAGTTATGGTTTCACATTTATGAATCGAACATGAACCACGTATGTGACTAATGAAAATTGTAATACTTTTACCAAAAATGAAGTGTAAATTAGTGTGCCGAGGAACCTACAATTGAGAGCGAAAGATGACGATATTTTGCGGCTAAACAAACGGCAATAGTTTGGTGGTTTTGAGTTATTTTTGTAGTTTCGGTTTTCATTGTCAGAACGCTAAGATATCAGCCACAATGAACAATCTTCAGAGTGATCCGTTCTCTGAAATCGGACATCTGCTGCGTCCGGTTTCCGTCAATCTATCTTGCTTGATTATAGATCACTTTTGGTTGACGCATGGAAATCGGTGAGCCATGCGGCTTACTTGCACTATTTCAAGTAAGCGCAGATATCATTATTTACCAGTCCCGATGCAGTACACATCATATATGATGTACGTTTTATTTCTCATAGATTAGAGTTGACGTAAGTAATGAACATTCAGTTCTTGAGACTGGGTTGCCTGATGAACTTTCCAAGTTATTCCAGAGACATCTGGAGACATTTGACTTCGAGTCCAACGGATGACCAACCTCGATTCTTTGTAGTCTGCTCATGGACCCCGAGTACCTGGGCTTCAAAATTCCTTCAATTGCACAGTACTTTTCCCGGAAAGGGACCCAGGGTTGAAAGGTGCAGCACTTGAAGCACTGAGTGATCCAGTGTCCAACTATCGGCATTATGATCGATCGACCACAGATGGTCAGATGTGAAACGACTGGCAGAATTGGATTGAGACACACGTACGGAAACTTACACAAACACTTCAGCAAAAACGCAGACAGGTGAGTAAGTACGCGAGTCAGCTTCACATTCCGCTAAAAACGTGTCAAGAGTACGGTTGAATCAGGGCATTCAAACTTGTGGCAATATCTGGTTGGTCAAAGAAGTCCATTAAGTAGGGTGGTTAGCAATAACCCTCTGTTCATATGGACTTCCATGTGTCCATGTGTGTGGGATGTGAAATAATGATCCACGGTGTGTGCGTGCAAGGCTGTTTGACATGCAGTTGAATGTTTGAATGGAACTAAGGGAGATATAGCGACTTATGGACGTAATGGTATGAAGATCCAACAATGGCTCCGAAGTGGTGATCATACTGAAATTGACAATATCACAAAAATATCCTATCTGTTCGTCTAACGAACAAAACTCGTACATGTCATGGGAGAACGAGAAAAGACGACATTCACTGAATTGCATGAACAATCGAGATTATCTAGACCAACTCACTTTTGTGGCAAACAAGCCATATGGGTCGGCCCTTCCGTGGTTATATGAATAAGCGGTGGCTCAAGAAACAGGCTTACCCTTAAAATCATTCATCTTCATGCCAATCTCGTTTTACAATGGAAGAGCCAACTGACGCGCAGCGAAGCTGGAACGCATAAGCAGACATTTCGTCAAATGCAGTCTCAGGGAATCTCCTGTATCCGTCGAAACCATCAAACACAGATGTAAAACGATGGACCAGATGTTTCCTCTGGAAGTGAAATCACTTCCCACTAACTTGCCCTTCAAACAGACCATTCAGTTCATCTCTGACTTCATAGAACCTAACCATTTACTGACAAAAGTACCGCAGAAGGACTTGAAAGAACTTCTTATCAGGTGCATTAGCAATGTCCAGCTTCTGACTAACAGGAAACTTTATCGCCAAATTATTCGTGTGGCCATGGGGTCACCACTTCGTCCAGTTTAAGTTTACTGAGTGCCTTCTGATCCCCATAAACACTTCGTTTACACACACTGGACACCGCAGAGGAGATCAATATCAGTCTTCTTGCACTTGTTCTATAAACATGGACAAATGTCCTCCGAACCCTCCAACAACGTTGACCGCAAGTCAACAACTCCCACCCCCGTGACTAAAATTTGAACCAGGTGACAGTCACGACCTAGTCGTGAGTCGATATATTGCCAGTAATTCCCTCGGCATACACATTCTGTCCACAGTGAACGACTTTGAACACATTCAACGTACTCATTTCTAATATGATTTTTACTGGCAAGATAGAGAAAACTGTTTGCCTCCGGAAGCCAACCTGCCCTTTTCCAAACACAACCACGTTGAACCATTTATTAGCTGTGAACAAAATGGCCTAACGAGAAGCGAATTCTGTGCACGAACATGAAGGTAAATGAATGAAAAAATCAATCCAGGTGAGAAATCACTTGAAGTGATATCTTCGTGGGCTATTACGTAGATTTGGCTGTCCGATTTGTAATTCATTTCACAAGAATGGAAACATTGTCCGTATTCCTCACAGATGTTTGCCAAGAGAGCAGAGAAATATGGTGGATGATAGGGTGTGATAGGGCAGCAGGACGATTTCTTTGCTCGGCAAAATTTTCCTTCCACATTCTAAGCTCTGTTTTGGTAAGCATATACATAGGAGAGCAAAAGAGACTGGTATCTCCCAGCTCCAGTGACAAAGGCTAATGGGAAAGGGAAAATGCATTTGACACATTTGCAGTAGTGCTAGGGTCAGTCAAATTATGTGGGAAAATGATAAAAGTAGAAAGTTTGTCAGACGACCTGTAGCAATTATCCGGATAACTCGGGTTGAAAATCTGGCAGAAACTCAGTC